TGGCCACGATTGGGTCCACATCTCCTTTGGTGGATCCAAATGGAAATGGATACGGCCACTTGGGTTGCTTCCTTCGCAATTCGCATTTTCCTACGATTCTCTGCTTATTCTTCTTGTCATTGTCAACTTGCCACGTGGAGGGTCCCCACGCTTAATCCTTATAATTATGTATATAGAAAATTTGTTGAGTTGTCACATGGATTCCACCACGTGGGGGTAATCAGTACCAAAAATATTGTATTTGGTTTTGATTTTTGAAATTTCAACGGTACTAACTTGACAATTTTGAGCCTAGAGGAGTCTCTTCCTTCATCCTCCTCTCCTCTCTTCCACGCGCTTTGCTTTACATAAATTTATTTTACAATTAAAAAAGTATAACAACAACTCAACAAGTGAATCACGTAATTAGACCACGCACGGCAGCACTTGATCGGGTGGTACCTGGTAGTAGGATCATGGATCTGCTAATCCATACGAGTGGACGCGGGCGCGGCAAAAGCGAAGGCTCACAAGTCACATATCACATATCACATATAATATTAGCGTAGAAGGCTGACTAACAAGCAATATTTCAGAGAGCAGATTGGTTTTGCCAGGTGGACAGACACGGAAAATCCAAAGACGACAAGGATTGGAAATTGCAACATATAATATGGTACGAACAAGGACTACTTTCGATCCCGCATCCACAACGACTTCTTGTCACATATCACATATTAAAGGTTAGGTTAATGGTCATAGCATTAGCATAGCCCTTGATTTATTTGATTTTTCCTTTTAATGGATAACTAAGAATTATGGTCACCCAGCGACCTTTTTTTTCTTAAAACTGTAGATGCATAGATGTCCTAGGGATTGATGAGGGCCGGGTCATTGTCCACTGTTTGTTGCACTGATAAAATTCTCACTTCTCTCAGGCTACAGACAAAGGCGTACGTGAAAGAAAAATTCATGTCCATCTAGGTAATTTCACCTGGAGCAATGCCCTGTAAAGTATAAACATCTTCCAACTCCTTAAAAAACAGCTTAACATCCCTTTGGTTTGCAGAGAATTGGAATGGCTCATCTGATTGGACGGAATTGAAATTTCAGTCCCATTTGAAAGCGAAATGATCATTTTTTTCTCTCCCTGATTAAGAATAATAAATCATTTCAACTAATTCTAATGTCGATTCCAATTTCTATGGCTGCATTTAGAAATGATGGAAATAAGTGTGAATGTAAATATGTAGAATATAAAACAGTTTGCATAAATTGTAAAGTTAGATTAGTTTTGTATTGATAAATTTACCTTCTTATCAAACAGATTTTTTAGTTGTAATAGATACAAACATGAATTTCAATAAAATATATACTTTTTTTTTATCAAAAACCCACTTCAATGCAAATTTACTTCTATTTTATTAATATACTTTTATGTCTTATTATCAATATAAATGTTATATTATCAAACACATGTAAAAGTGAATCAGAATACAAATTTACCTTGAACTCGGATTTACACTCTATTTGTATCGTTTTCAAACGCATCCTATAAGAAAAATAAACTATTCCAATTCCAATTTGGATGCTTCTAAATTTCTTTCTCCCTAGCTGCTTAGCAAAGCTAGAGGCCCAAAGTCTGCCTAGCCAGCTGCAAGCGGCATGCCGCAAATGGAAATACCGAATTGTCGTGATCCATGATCCATAAATTCCATCTCCAGGAGCTACACAGAAGAAAAAACCAACACAACTACCTGGAACCTTCTCACTGCTTCTCATTCACTGTTTTTATTATCCATAATATGTATTTATAAGTGGGTCCCCACACGCTCTACACTTTGACAGCCATACAACCAAGATATCAATTGGGTGGCCCTACATGCTAACTAAGCCATGAATGCATGGATAAAACCCAAATCCTAATCCTCAAACAGAACCAAGCAGAATAGTATGTAGGGTCTCTCCCTTCAGTTGGCAGAGCTTAACAGAGGCCTCAATTCAAATGCTACCTACCATCTGTGTGCCTTTATCAAGACCATGAGATGAGAAGAGAAGGGTAAAAGTGCGGGGTCGGAACGTCGAAGGTCCCACCACATGTACACCTAACCTCCTCCCCCATGCCCTTTCATCCTAATGCCTATTTTCCTACTTAAAATACAAATTACAGCCAAAAGTCAAAGACAGTGTATCTCAACTATCAACATATATAATTAAATAATTAATCCTTCTTTCCTTCTTACCCAATAACAACCATCTAATCCTCAGATTATTTCTAATATAATGACACCTGTTCTATTGGGATAATTATATGAAGATGACTATGATCTTATGATTATAATTATTAGGTATCATGAGATTCTTACACAGTTTATGTATTAACTATCAAAGCAACACCAGGGAATCCAGCTGACTTTTTATTCAAAAGAAAAAAAAAAAAATCCAGCTGATCGAGGTATCAAAGCAACACCAGGGAATCCAGCTGAGTTTTTATTGAAAAGAAAAAAAAAAAAAATCCAGCTGATCGAGTTGGTCAGTCACCGGACTCCAGTCTCCTCTCCATAGACAGACACCTCTTGGGAGTTGGGAGCTGGGGACTTGATGAAATACAACATGTTCTACGGATTATTAAAACCGCATTGCTTTGACAATATATTCTAGGCGTTGGATTTATTACATGATCATATTATCATATATCTTCTGAAGGGCTTCCTGTGATACTTAGAAAACCATTCTCCACTCATATGGAATGGACCCACCATATGGCTCTGGTTTTTGTTTGTGATTAGGTGGATAATTAACTTCTTAATTAGTTGACTAATCTACGATGTAGGGTCGTATTGTGAGAGATACTTTAGACATTACTATGCAATTATATACTCCAGCTCTTTCCTTTTTTTATTTTAATATATATATGATGATTGCATGGGCCGGGGAGCATACCGATGGGTTGTAGGTCCCTGATCATCACGTCATCCTGATCAGACAATGAAGAAGCATTTGCATTGGCAAGCCAAAATTAATACAACGTACAAAATCATACAAATTTCAAACTAAAGGCCTGTTTGGACTCACATCTGTCAACTCTCCGGTTATCTGTTTGGAAATCTACAGGGTGAAAAAAAAAAATATTTGAGGCATTATTTATGCAAAGTTGGGTGGTGTTTGGTATTGATGTCATTTTATGAGAAAACGGTGCCACATCGGTATCACATAAAAAAAAACAGTGCAATGAAGAAACATGAAATTCAATGTTTTCTGAGAAAACAACCTATTGTTGCTAGCGGTGCAATGATGTGGCATCATCTTGGTATATGTTTGGCATCGATGTTCTATATAGCACCGTTTTCTTATATGTGTGGGTTGGAAGCACCGTTTTTTGAGAAAACAATGTCTTTTTTTTTGTTTGGAAACGTTGTTGCCAAGTAGGACGTTTCCTGAAGCAATAACAACATTTTCTGTTTGGTACCAGTGTTCCATATTTGTTTTCAGCATTGTTACCCATTATGGGAATTCCACATCACTGCCACATCATGTCTTTATTGGCATCAACGAGCTCCAATCTGAGAAAACATCGAATTCAGTATTGCTCCATACCACGCCTTCTCAATTTCCAAGGTATGACTTGGAGAATCGTTTTTTATGGAAAAGCGATTCCAAACATATTAATTTTCCTGGAACACCAATTTTTCCAACATAGCACTGATGTGTCACCATTTTCTAGAGTAATGGCATGGATGCCAAACATACGCTTGGGCACTGGATAATATACTCCAATGCTGAAGACGATTATACAACACAACACTGGTACCAAACAAAACCAGTGGTGTTTTCTAAACAAACAGCTTATGTGGCAACATCAATGACAAACAAAAAAAAAACCGTTTTTTAAGAAAACAATGATAAAACAGACCCTCATGGAACACCGTTTTCTCAAAAAACATGTACGAAGCAACGACATTGATGCCAATCACCTACTTACTATTTTCCTTCACTTTATAATTTGTTTTGATGTATAAATAGTAAAGAAAACGAAATTATTCTGAAAAAGGGCAAAATATTTTAGCCTGAATAAAAAATTCGAACCACTTTATGTTGCTTGCGGAACCAAACGCAACCCTAGAAATACTTGCATTTATTTTTACTTTTTTTGAACTATGAGTTGATCTCCTGCATCCTACATTCCTACCCAGAACGAAAAGAAAACATCTTATGGTTGGCTTAGACAAACGGCCAGATCCCCATCTAACGACCCTAATGAGAAAACAAAAACAGCAACCATGCAGATTGTTGCACCAAATCAATGCAAAACCTTGAAGAAATGAAAGGATATATAATAAGAAATAAGAATGTTTGTTGCACCAAATCCAAATGTTTATGGAATCTGTCTTGTTTAGGCAAATTCCAAGGTTTATGGTCAGAAGATAGCTGCACCAAATCAATGCTTTGCCGCCTCTGTAAGCTGAAGAAGGTCCATCTCGGGAACAACAGGTCAGTTGTGTTCCGCCGCGCCCAAAACCAAGGCTTTTAATGGGAAGGTGGGGAACGGGGAAGCGAGAGTAGTATAGTCTAGTCTAGTCTGTCATCTCTCATCTGTGACGGTGAGACAGCCCAGACTCCAGAGGGGGAGACGGAATAGTAAACTACAATTATATATTTATTGTCAAAATGGTAAAATACGAATTAATCAAGACACAACGGATGTCTCTCTTGACTCGGTCAATCGGCGCGTGAGGACCCACGACTCAGCCTTATGGGTTAGTCATAATTACCATACACCCTTACAAAGTTTCTTTTAGACGAGTTATGCAAGGTTATATCGGTAAATTGGGTAAACTTATTATCTTATCAAGATTTTTAAAGTGGGGTAAAGCAAACCAGAGAAACGGCTCCTTTGAGAGTTGAGGCCTTCTAATATTTATATTTGTAAATAACACAACTGCCACCATTACAGAAGGCACAGGCTTTTCTAAACTTAAGTTTTTGTTTATTTCTATTATTTTTTCAAACTAAAAAAATATAATTTTTAGGGTTTATTTCCATTCTCTCTCTCTCTCTCGTTTTTTGGGGCTTTAAATTGGTTGTGAAGAATATATGTGAAGGGGCGAAAAACCACCAAAACGGCTATAATTGCCGTCTCACGTCTCAAAAACAACAAGTGGAGCAGTCGAAGATCACGGTGTTTCTCGCGTTCTCCGGCCAGGCTATGCAGTGCGTCGTCGACCCCTTACACCGATTTGAAGGTTGATCTGGTTTTTCTGTAGGGCGTCGGTTAACCGTTAACCAGAGAAACAAAGAGGCAAAAGAGTGTTGATTAATAAGTTGACGCAAGCCAATCCTTTTTCTTTAATTGTGCGTTCATGATGCCTGAAGGAGGAGCCTATTATTGCTCCAAGAAGACGGACGATATCTGTGAAGATGTTTGTGGACAGGTATTAATCATCCCTCTCTTCTTCTTCTTCTTCTTCTTCTTCTTCTTCTTCTTTCTTCTGTTTTTCCTTTTCTTTATTGGATCTGTTTTTCTTTTTTGATTCAATTGTTTCATTCCGTTTTTTTGGGCTTTATATTCTTTAACGCTGTTTTGGATTTTCATTAATGCAAAATGGATTATTTTTCCCGCTCTCTATCTGTACCTCTAGATGTCTCCCTTCTTATGTTTCTTATTTTTTTGGGCTATTTCCATCTGAACCCCCTTTTTTTGTTCAACATCTCATTTCGCAAATTCATGTGCTGATTGTTGTCCCTACGATCTTATCAAGTTCTTTTTCCTCCTTTTTTTCCGGAGACCTTCTGTACTTAGGAGAGAGAATGTATTCGTGGAGATTTTGAAATCTAGGATTTGGGGTTTTGAATCGAAGACTCTATATTTCAGATTTGAATATTTGAAGCTGTACCATTTGTTTTATTGCAAAGAATCGAAACTTTGGGGCATTTCCCCTTTAATTTGATTACTAAAGGGATTAAATTCATTTCATCAGAAGTCCCTCTACGATCTTGTGCTTTTTATTAACTTTGGCCGTTTAAACCAAAATTAACATTTTCTAATAAACCGCGGTGTTAATAGGATTTGAACAATGAACGCCGAGATGTTTTATGGTTATGTTGGATCATTCATTCTTATGGCTGATAAAGTCTTCGCCTTTTTATCTGCAGGAGGCAAATCGCTCAGGCATGTCAAGACTCCGATGCATTCTGCGGGGGTTGGATTTTAAAAGTTTCCTCCTCCTATTCGTTATGGTTCCGACATTCATCTTTGTCATTTATTTGCATGGGCAGAAAATTTCATACTTTCTTAGGCCATTGTGGGAATCTCCACCCAAGCCCTTCATAGATGTCCCACACTATTATCATGAGAATGTGTCGATGGAGCACCTCTGCAAACTTCATGGTTGGGGAATCCGCGAGTCCCCAAGACGAGTGTTTGATGCTGTGCTCTTCAGCAATGAGCTTGATATACTTACCATAAGATGGAAGGAACTGTACCCTTATATCACACAGTTTGTTCTTCTTGAATCGAATTCAACTTTCACAGGCTTGGTAAAGCCGCTGATTTTTGCTAGCCACCGAGACCAATTCAAATTTATTGAGCCTCGTCTCACTTATGGGGTAATTGGGGGACGATTTAAGAAAGGGGAGAACCCATTTGTCGAGGAGGCTTATCAGCGAGTAGCACTGGATCAGCTTCTCAGAATAGCAGGTATAACTGATGATGACTTGTTGATAATGTCTGATGTTGATGAGATCCCAAGTGCGCACACGATCAATCTCCTGCGGTGGTGTGACGACATTCCTCCGATCCTCCATCTTAGGCTCAAGAACTACTTATACTCTTTTGAGTTTCTCGTGGACAATAAGAGCTGGAGAGCTTCTGTGCACAGGTACCAGACGGGTAAGACAAGGTATGCACATTTTCGGCAGACAGACTACATTTTGGCAGACGCGGGGTGGCATTGCAGCTTCTGCTTCCGCCATATCAGTGAGTTCATATTCAAGATGAAAGCCTATAGCCATGTTGACCGAGTTAGGTTCCGCCATTACTTGAATCCCAAAAGGGTTCAGGATGTAATATGCAGAGGGGCTGACCTATTTGACATGCTTCCAGAAGAGTACACATTTAAGGAGATTATTGGAAAGTTGGGACCTATTCCTTCCACTTTTTCTGCAGTTCACCTTCCATCACATCTTCTGGAGAACTCAGATAAGTACAGATTTCTATTGCCAGGGAACTGCAAAAGAGAAAGTGGCTAAGTCCCTCCAACAGATTTTTGGCGTCTGCATTGTAAATGTTCAGGGCAGCTTGTTTGGCACAATGAGAAAGGTCTTTGGGGAAACTAATGACTATGGTATGGTATGTTATGAAGATACCAGATATCCGGCAGAATTTTAGATCATTCTTTAGGGAGACAGGAGTTGGGGAAAATTGGATGAGAGTTGTTGGATTTCCTGGGTGGAATTTTGTAAATTTCCTTTTCCATTACTGGGTTTCATCCTGGTGGAGGCATATCCTTTTGCCAAACGTGGAGCTTGAATTCCGGGGAACAGTTAAATTCTCTGTGGATAGCTTTCATACCACTTTCTTGTTGGTATGAGATGGTTCCCCCAATTGAAAACAAATTGTGACATTTCCCGAGCTTTTCAGTGCTGGGAATTTTGTTTTCCTTTAGCCTAATCTATTCACATATTCTTCTTACAACTTATGTTGTCATTTAACTTGTTGATTTGTACCATCTGATTGCTTCTGGACCTTCTATTGATGATAATTCTGATTTAATTCTTTGTCCTCTCCAATCACATTGTTAAGAAGAATATTAGCGCTATTTGTATAATTTTTTTTTATTATTTTGGTTTGGTAAGTAGCAATGAAGCAAACAGGTGAAGCGGATGGTTGGTGGTTTTCTTGATTGTAATGTTTATTTTGCAATTCTTGTATTCTGATATTATTTCTTTCTCCCTAGACATACAATCTTGAGCTCCATATGTGACAGTTGTGCTATGTTATTTCTGTCTTCTAAAAGCCACTGTATCCTCCATCCAGGCTGTACCAAAAATATTGACTGGGTAACGTTTTCCATTTTCTAACTGGTTTCTGGGGTGCCCATCTTCAAATCTGTGTGTCTTATTGTTTATTGGTAAGATGTTATCAAAGCACATAGACAAGTTGCACATTGCGTCTTGCTTATCCAATTTTGGTTTGGAGTCTTTGGATGGATCTAATTTTGGGTACAGAAATAAACACTCTGGTAATTTGTAGGTTTTAAGCCAATTTATTTTAACGGGGAAGAACTCCATATGCTGTAAGGTTGTGTATCTCACAGTACTTAATTTCGGAAGCTTTAGATATTTTGAAGTTGTTACGTGTAGAGGCTCAGGCATCTCTTCTGGGGTTAACGCTGCTTGAATCAATTGCAACCCTACTTTTTTATTGGAATGGACCATAAAAATGAGTCGAGAGCGACTTCCACTGAGTTTTTGGTTGTGTCCGGGTCGTCGCTGAATTGCGACTTGTAAGTAGAGACAATTGTCTCTACTCTCTAGCCCGTGAATCTATGGTTGATGTTTTTTTAGTCGTAGATCAGTGAGATGGTGACTTAAATGTGTGTAAAGGAAATCGGATTTTCTCTTACAGAGCGCACCTCAGCCGTGAATTGGGAATATATGACAACATTAAATACATTAAATACGGGAGATGTTCTCGCTGCATGGTTTAAAACACTGTGAGGCAAAAGGAGGAGCAAATCCGGATTGGTGTCTAAGGGCCATGAGAGGATACAGTCCACCACCCATCTCACCCGCCAACAAATAAATAAATAAAAAGTAGAAGAAAAGGGGATTGGGAGTTTAACTTACTTTTTGGAAAATTCTCGATTAGTAATCTGTACTTTGGCTAGAGTGATAATTTGGTTACTTAAATTTTCAAAATGTGATGAGAATTTTTAAAGTGTGATAATCCAGTACCTACTGTTAATCAGCCGTTAAGTGATATTTGAAAAGTTAAAAATGTCATTTGAATGTCACTTAATTTCTTTTAATTAATCACCCAAATATTGACAAAAAATCGAACACAGTCTCAAATCTTAACCTCTTCTATTCAAAAAGGTTGGTGACTGTTTAGAAGAATTTAGAATTTATGACTGTTCATTTTATTGTCAATGTTTAGATGGTTGGTAAAGAGAACTAGATAGCATTTTTAGTGTATTTTTTACTTTTCAAATGTCATTTAAAAACTGGTTAACGACAGGTACTGAATTGTCACATTTTGAAAATTTGAATACTAGATTGTCACATTTTGAAAATTTAAATACTGAATTGTCGCATTTTAAAGTTTGAAAACCAAATTATCAGCCAAAGCAGAGGATACTAATCAGAAATTTTCCCTTAACTTTTTTAGTTCCACTGCTGATAGAATTTAGAAGCCTAGATGACTGTTTGGTGGCTTCCAGTTCCGGTTGGGAGCAGCTGCAAGCATCCTTGTGTGCTTTTTGCAGTTTCAAACAAACAGGTTCTCTCGTGTGAGAAACAGGTTGGAAGTTCTTAGGAATTGTTACATGGAACCTGGTGCCATCTTGGTGATGGTGGGTCCTTTTTCGCGTACTACAGTACAGCCTACAGGAAGAAAAGTATTGGTTCTAGCCCTTTGGGACGGTCTTGCTGTTGGTGTTGGTTGTTAGGGCGATGGGTTTAACTCCACTTTCAGTTTCCACACTATCAATATAGAAATAAATTAAGCTATACAGCTGTGGTAGATTAGAACCATAAACCACTTTTATCTTTATCCATACAAAGGACGGGGATAATTAGGCAAGAAAAAAAAATCAATCTTCGTCAGCTGAAAAAGAGAGAAAGAAGATAAAAAGCAAGAGTGAAAAGAGGGAGTTGTATGCAACTTTTATGAGTTTCAGAATTATTAGAGAGACAGAGAGAGAGAGGAAAAGGGTATCAGACAGGAAGAAAGAGTGGTTCGATGGAAGTAGGGTGTATAGTTTGTTTAAAGGATTGATTGCCAACTAATGTGACAGACAAATTATTCGTTGGTCTTATCTTTTCCAAACTCCAAAGTAGACTTTGTTTGGAGTCTAGATTCTATTGGTTGTCTTTTACATGCGAGACAGGTGGTAGATTAGACTATGGAACATCCAGCTCCAGGTGGTGTTTTCTGTTTTGGGATTTTTTTTTTAAAATCATTATTATTTACTCTTTATTATTATTATCATTCCATCCATCCCCTCCTCGCCTATTAACCGCAAGGCACGATGGTTTTCGCGTGTTACACACACAAACACAATCAATCCACTTTTACTTTGTAAACTAAGCTTGAAAGTTGAAACTATGACACAGATTTGCGGAGATGCCTACCCGAGACCCTTCCTTTCCTCGAGGAAAAAGGAGACAAGGGAATAGACAAATCTACCCAACCAAGAAGCATCAACCATCTGGTTGGGATTATGTATGGCTATGGGGGGG